GAAGATGAGAGAGAGCAAGATACCAAAAACATATTGGAAGAAATAGTGACAGAAAACTTGCCCCACCTGGGGAAAGAAATAGACTAACAAGTCCAGGAAGCACACAGAACCCCAAACAAAAGGAATCCAAAGAGGACCACACGAAGACACATCATGATTAAAATTCTAAGAGCAAAAGGCAAAGAGAGAATATTAAAAACAGCAAGAGAAAAGCAGGTAGTTACCTATAAAGGAGCACCCATAAGATTGTCAGCTGATTTCTCAACAGAAACCATGCAGGCCAGACGGGAATGGCAAGAAATATTCAAGGTGATGAATAGCAAAAACCTACAGCCAAAAATACTCTAACCAGCAAAGCTATCACTCAGAATCGAAGGCCAGATAAAGAACTTCACAAATAAAAAAAAGCTAAAGGAGTTCATCACTGTCAAACCAGAATTATATGAATTGCTGAAGAGGGTTCTTTAGGAAGAGGAAGAAAATAAAGATAAAAATTATGAACAACAAATATGTAACTATGAACAAGTGAATCTAAAAACCAAGCGAATTAAAAAATCTTATGAACAATATTAACTGGTGAATATAATAGAATCAAAGGTATGGAAGGGGAGTGGACTGATGATTCTCGGGGAAAAGGGGAATGGGGGGTGAGGGAAGATACTGAACATAAACTATGCACCTATGGATGAGGACAATGTGGGGTCGGCAAAGAGCAGAGGGTGGGGTGGGAACCTGGTGGAGGGTGGGAAAATGAGGAACTTTTGTAACAATATGAACAATAAAGTCTTATTTTTTTTTAAAGAAAAAAAATGTGAAGAAAAAAATAATGTATATCATGTGATCTCAATTTAAAAATATATATATAAGTATATGCTTGCATACAATACAAGAAACAGAGATTGAGGCTATAATGTACTCTAAAGTGTTAATATTTGAATGGTTGAATAAAGTAATTGTAATTTTCATGTTTTCTGTAACTTACAAAATAAAATAAAATAAAATAAAATAAAATAAAATAGAGGTAATATGCAAATTGATCATCTCTCCAACACACAAGATGGCCACCCCCATGTGGACACAATATGGTTACCACAAGATGACCGCCCCCATGTGGACACAAGATGGCTACCACAAGATGGCCAGCAGGAAAAGGCAGTTGGGAGGGACCAGGCCAGCAGGGGAGGGCAGTTAGGGTGACCGGGACTGGAAGAGGGCAGTATGGGGCGATCAGGCCAGTAAGGGAGCAGTTAGGTGTCAATCAGGCTGGCAGGGGAGTGGTTAGGGGTTGATCAGGCTGTCAGGCAGAAGCAGATAGGGGCAATCGGGCAGGCAGGCAGGCGAGCGGTTGGTAGCCAGCAGTCCTGGATTGTGAAAGGGATTTCTGCCTGCCTATTCAGGCTCAATCCCACCAGGCAGTCGGACATCTCTCAGGGGGTCCCAGATTGGAGAGGATACAGGCTGGGCTGAAGGACACACATACACACACACTGCACAAATTTCGTGCACTGGGCCTCTAGTTTTATTATAACATGTCTTGGTATTGGTCTTTTTTTATTTATCTTGTTTGGGACTAAGCTTCTTGGATTTGTGTGAGTTTTTTCTTTATATTAGGGAAGTTTTCTGTCATTATTTCTTCAGACAAGTTTTCTATTCCTTGCTAAATGTTCTCTCCTCTGTCACCCTTTGTTGTTGTTTTGTTTTATGTTGTCCCAAAGTTCCCTTATGATCTCCTCCTGTTAGTTAAGGTTTTTTTTTCTAGGTGCTGCTCTGCCTGGGTATTTTTTCCCACCTTGTCTTCTAGCTCACTGATGTGGTCCTCTGCTTCTACTAGTCTACTGTTGATGCTTTCTATTGTGTTTTTTATTACGGTGATGTCATTTTTCATTTCTTCTTTGTTATTCTTCATTTCCTGTTAGTTTTTACACGTTGTTGAATTTGTCTTCCATTCTTTCAGCAACCTTATGAACATTGCGTTGAATTATTTCTCTGACATGTTGCTTGCCTCCTTTTTATTTACTTCCTTTTCTGGTGATGCCTGCTTTTTTTTCATATGTGGACTGTTTCTTAGTAGCCCCATGATCACTCATTTCTGGATGTCTGGTTATGTAGCTTCTCTGTCCTGCATTGACTGTGTTTAATTCACCAGTTCTGGGTGGATATTAATTGATTCAGCTGTTCCTTCTCTCTGCTCTGTGAGAAGGCATAGGGCTCGTCCACATATTCATGCCACTTTGTCTCCTTCTGGACAGACTTTCTAGGCACCCGAAGTTAGAGATGCTGAAGTCTTGGTGTTCCTGGGTTCTCAGCTGAGGCAGTTTGTCCCTGGGGGTTGTGGTTGTAGGGTCATGGGAGGTATTTGAGGTCTCCTCAGTTGAAGGTAAGTCTGGGCTTTAGATCACTGCCATTCTCCTCTTCAAGATGGCGGGGTCTCCACGGCAGAGTTTACCACTCCAGGAGAGATTTCAGCAGCAGTAGAGGCTGCCCAGCCAGGAGAACCCAATCCAGCAGTCTCCAACAATTCCTTGGAATATAACTGCCCCTCACTCACAAATACAGACACTCCCTGCACTTCTACCCACTCTCCTTTTTTGTTTCACTTACACACTATCTTGCAGCTCACCTTCCCATCAGCAGCCATCTTCTGTCACTAATTTTTGACACCTTCACTAACAAGTGCCTTGAATTGGGCCTCTTTAAATTGAGGTAACTAGGTGTTCTGTTTGCTTCTTGAATTCGAGGATCTAGTTCTTTCCATAGATTTGGGAAGTTCTTGTTCACTATTTGTTTTAAGATTCTCCATTCTCTGCTCTCTTTCTTATTCCTCCACAATGCCTGTGATTCTGATGTTACTTTTTCCAATGGAATCCGGGAGGTCTAACAGAGCTCTTTCATTTTTATTTAATCTCAGATCTCTCTCTTCCCTCTACATAATTTCTTGATTCCTGTTTCAATATCACTAGTTCTTTCCTCTAATTCGTGGGTTCTGTTTTTTATGCTCAACAGTTTACTCTTAGTCTCCTTAATTGCATGGTTCATTTCCAGTTATTCTGATATTCATTTTTAAAGTTTCAATTTCCTTGGAGAAATACTCATTTTGTTCACTGATTTGCTTTCTGAGTGTACTGAATTGCCTGTCAGTATTTTCTTGCATCTCATTGAGTATTTTTAGAACTGCAATCTTGAAATCTTTGTCATTTATATCAGCAGTCACCAATCAGTGGTCCATGGACTACTGTGGCCCATGAGATCTGATAGGTTGGTGACCGCTGAGTTATGTCACATAATCCCATGTGTTCCAGTATACTTTCTGGGGATTTTTCATTTTCTTTCTGGCCATCATTCAGTGGTTCTTCATGGTATTTGCTGCTCTTTTTTCGCATATGTCTCCTAGAAGGTCTTTCCACTATCTTCCAGTAGATGGCACTGAATCAAAAGATTTTTTACCTCTCTGATCTCCCAGATTTGAGCCTCTGCAGCTTGGGACAGTACAGCTGTGCTGCTTGTGGATGAGGTTGGTTTTGCCCTAACTGTAATGGCTACCCCTTAACTTCTATTTGTCTGGCCCATGCACCCATCCTGGGGTTCAGACACAGAAGGAAACAGCAATTATATTGCGGCAGCTCTTGGTTTATAGATAATGTGCTCCTGGAGCCAATGCCAAGGGAAATGGGAGACAAGTTTTGGCTGTCTAGTCGTGCATCAGGGCCCTTTATTTCCTTTCTTTATCTGAAACACCACCAGCAGGCCCAGCACTGGGGAGCTGCATGGCAGCACCCCGTGCTCTGTTGGGCCAATGTCTGCTAATCAGTCGCTGTTCTGTCTCCTGGTGGCTCGCAGGTATGTATGCACAAGTTAGACCCTATTAGCTCTGGCTGTTGGTAGCTCTCTGCTCACCAGTTGCAGCTTGCAGATTGCCCTGCTCTCTTCCTCCCCCCCTCCTCCCCCACCCCTAGGGGCTGAAGGAAGTGCCTGCTACAGCCACCCTGGCCAGGCTCTGAGTTCCCCCCTGAGCTGAAGGGCTGAGTATGTAGTCTATGTCTGCACTTTCCTCCCTTCTCATCTCTCCATTTATCCCTGAATGCCCACCTTTATTTAGGTGTTTCAGTGTGCGGGTCTCCCAGGCATGCATCTGTGTTGATCAGGGATTTTTTTGTTGAATTATAGATGGTTTACTTGTTGTAACGTCAGGGGGAGAGGAAAAGATGTGCTCTTATGCTGCCATTCCTCTGACATCACTCTCTGGCTTCTGTTTTGTTGAGAATGTGACTATTGCCTATGGCACAGGACAGCACATAAGAATAGACTTCCCTTTTTGTCAGATAAGTACTCTGGTTTCTAAAGTTATAAAGACCATGTCAGTTGGATCCATAATCATGCCATTTTTCATAACTTATTGGGATTCATCAGTGGATTGTTCTCTGACTGTACTGGAAAAAGTGTAGCAGGACATCAGCAGATCTAAACTGAACCCTGTGTGATCATTACCAAGGCCTGGCTGACATTCAGAACTCAGGTTTTGAGAGTAGCATCTTTACATGTCTGGTGATAGGCATTGATAAGACATATTCCAAAAACTCAGTGAGTCACTAGAATATCAAATCAGATCATAAACTTTGTGTTACTTGCTTAGAAATTATACCTTTAATTTTAAAAACAATTTTTATCTTTTTATGATTTTGTTTGGACAAAAAGTAGAATTTTCAAATAATATAAAGAAAATCCAAGTATGAATATGTTAATGTAATCACTGGATTATCTAATTTTAATATACTTATAGAATACAGAAGAGAATATATGATTAATTAGTATTTTTCTAGACATTTTCCGGAAAGAACACAAGTGGAAATACTCTTTTAAATGAATGATGATTATCTAATAACTCTGGATTCTCTTTCTCTTTCTTCATTTCTCACCTTTCATTCCATTTTATTATCCTGCATTTCCCTTTTATTTTTGTTTCTGTTAAATGCCACTTCCCTTTTTAATTACTTTTTACCCAGACACTTCTGAGGTTGATTTATTTGTTATTAATGCTCCATACACTCCAGTGCCAGATCCCACTCCCATGATGCCACCAGTGGGAGTCCAGGCTTCCATTCTGAGTCATGATACCATAAGGATTACATGGGCGGACAATTCACTGCCCAAACACCAGAAGATTACAGACTCTCGCTACTACACAGTCCGATGGAAAACCAACATCCCAGCAAACACCAAGTATAAGGTACTGGCACATGTGCTCTGGGTAAGAAATGCTAAATATGGATATTTCCTCAATCTAAAGTTCTTGAATCATATATTTCCAGAATGCAAATGCAACGACTTTGAGTTACCTGGTGACTGGTTTAAAAGCAAATACACTCTATGAATTCTCTGTAATGGTGACCAAAGGTCGACGATCAAGCACATGGAGTATGACAGCCCATGGGACCACCTTTGAATTAGGTATGTTGTCAGAACCTTAGGTCATATGGCATTTCTTTTCTGCAAGATATGAAAGTCAGTGGAAGTTCCTGCGAATGTTGTGCCACATTTCAAATCATGAGACTTATTCACCTTCTTTTACTAACCAAGGATGAATTGAGTATGTGAATGTATTTACCGAATGCAGTGAGCAACTATAGCTGGAGTTCAATGTTTGATTTCTCAGCTGATGAATTATGGTTTTTTTAATCATTGTACAAGAACAATAACAGGATAATATAATATAAAGTATACTAAATTTTAGGAATGGAGACTTGAGTTCAATCCCAGGTCAGCCATCTACTGAGTATAATAATAAGCAAGTCATTCAGCCTTTCTAAATAAAAGAGGGGTGATAACCTCTGCCTTTCCTACTTTACATGGTTATTGTTAGGATGAAACAAGGAGCAGATGGGAAAGCACAGGCTGTTATAAAGCACTGTGCAGGTGGGAGGGGTACTTGTCATTAGTCCAGCTTTCTGGGTAAACTTGAGAAAGAAAAGATGAAGCGGCCTGCCCTTCACCAAGCAGCTGCAGTGCTGTTTATGGAGTTTAACACTTACCAGTAGCTCTCTTGCAAACCAATTAGTGTCTTGTAAAATCTTTCACTGGAGAATCCTTAGGGTTTTTGTCTCTAAGTAAACATGAAAGAGAAAAGACAAGCAAACTAAGCCCTCCAGGTTTGAGATTCTGTTTGCTTTTTGCTTACCTGTAGGCCTACGCTTCTGCTTCTTATACTTTCCCAGCATGAAGTCATGTGTAACTATTGGTAGTCTGTATCTACTCTAGACCCTATTTTTTCTCTCTCCTGTATACAAATAATGAAAAAATGGAGGAGTAGTATCTCCCCAGAAGGCTGTCCCTAATGTTTTTGTTTTCTGAACAGTGGGTTATACATCCTACAGAGAAAAGGGTTTGGATCTGGAGAGCTAGAAATACAGTGCACAAAAGCTTACATGGACCTTGAGTTTGCTTTCTTGGACAGTTTTAAGAATATCTTTTTGTTTTAATTCCAACCTATTAGCTAATAAATGACATTATGTATTTCCTTAGGATGTTTGCATTTTACCAATCTTTCTTTCATTTTTATACCAGGAGGAGGCTAGCACTGTAGGAAGAGAAAATTTTAAGGATGTTCTTAATTTGCTCATTTCCCTACTAGTACATTAAAAGTTTTCAGCAAAAACATGGAAACAAGAAATGCAGTCATTTTTTTTATTGTTATTTTTCTGTTTTGTAAAATGCTTTGTATTTCAAAGCAATAAGCTCAAATATTTGACTGTATGTATTTATTGCAAACTTTAAATAATAAACATCAATTTATAAATCAAGTTCTTTGAAGGAATTTGGGGTTTTCAAATATTTGGTTTGAAGAGGCAACTATAAGGTGAGAGAGAAAATTATTTTACATTTTAAAATAGCCTAACAAAATAATCCAAATTAGAGGAGAACGTCATCTTGGGAAAATTACATAACTTTTCTCATTTTTAGTGTCTTGATGTGCTAAGTAGGGATAGTGGTAACTACATTTCAAGTTGCCATAAACATGAAGAGAAAAATTACTTTTAAAATGCCTGGCATATATTGCCTTTTTTATTTCCCTACCTACTTACCATGCATATCCCTGACCCCAGCCAAAATGCCAATCATGTATCTTTATAGTGTGGTATTCTCTCTGATATTTTGCACATTCTTTTTATTGGAGCTATTTGTAGGTAGACTGTAAGTTCTTTGAAGTCAGGAGGCTTTATTTTATTTTATTTTATATATATATATATATATATATATATATTTTTTTATTTTTTTTTTTTTTGCCTTAAACCCTTGATTATGACTTACAAATGGAAAGGGTTGAGGAAATGGTAAATAAAATTGAAATGGACAGGAATTATTAAAAGTATTGTTATTTTGTAGTTCCTACTTCTCCACCCAAAGATGTGACAGTTGTAAGTAAAGAGGGAAAACCTAGGACCATAATTGTAAATTGGCAACCTCCCTCTGAAGCCAATGGCAAAATTACAGGTAAGATGCTTTGAATGTGTGTGTGTTCCTTTTACTGCCAGGCAGAACACTCCAGGAGAGTTCTGTGTTGGGAGAAGTAGGAATCTGAAGGCTGGCTTGGTCATTTACAAGGTACTATGAGTCGTAATGGTCACAAAAAAGTGGAGCAAGGGGGAGCTGCTATTTTCCCACAGGAACATAAAAATGAGTTACCAGCTAATTGTTCTAACTCACTTTGAGAGTCTGATGGGCACAGGTTAGGCTAGACAGCCTTTGGATATAGTAATACCTTATGACATATTTATTTTCTTCAGGAAAGCAGTTCTTCTCTGCCTCTAACTGCATGACCTGCTTTAAAGACCCTGCTTAATTCTATAGGGTTATTCCCAATAAACAGAGACTCATCTCTTTTACCCTAAAGCCCATTAGACTTTTAATTCCTTTTCCCCCCTCTAGGCCTGCTACTTTACTTTAGTTCCTGTGCTTTTACAACTAGAGTTAGCAATTTGAATTGGCATAGACCTTTGGAGGGGTATGGACTATTTCCTTGGGCTTCTAGAGGAGGAGACCCTTCCACAATAAATATTGTCTCCTTTTCAGCCTTGTCAAGGAGGAAAGGGATTTAGCTGTTAAATATTCTCCTTGGGCCGAAACTGGTTTGGCTCAGTGGATAAAGCGTGGTCTGCGAACTGAAGGGTCCCAGGTTCGATTCCTGTCAGGGGAATGTACATTGGTTGCGGGCACATCCCCAGAAGGGGGTGTGCAGGGGGCAGCTGGTTGATGTTTCTCTCTCATCAATGTTTCTAGCTCTCTATCCCTCTTCCCTTCCTCTCTGTAAAAAATCAATAAAATATATATTTTTTTAAATATTCCCCTTGGGACCTCTGCCCAAGGATATATTGTATGAGGAACAAAAGTTTGCCTTCTGAAGTTCTTTGGTATGAATAGGGCGGCCTAAGAAAACTGAAAGCATTGTTCTGCTTCAGCTTTCAATAGAAACTCCTTTCCATAAATTCCTAGGCTTTTTTTTTTGTGTGTGTGTGTGTATGTGTCAGTTTTTTAGGTTTTTTTAAATTGCTTCTTTCATAAAAGAATCAAGCATGATTTGACCTGCATTGCATTGTACTTTGTATTTAAAGCCCACTAATAATGCACTTAATTGGGTCAGGTAGGCTTGTGCTTATGGGTCTCTTTGCCTCAGCCAAGGAGATTGAGTGCCCTCTGGTGGAAGTTGCCAGGTGACATTGGGGGTGACTTCTGCCCCAAATATAGGAGAAATTGACAGAGATTGCTGCCCATCTCCCAGGAATTTTTCTTCTAGGAAGTCACTTTGGTGAGAGCTAAAACAGCATTTTAGGTCATTATTTCTTTTCAAAACCACATTATTTTAATTGTAGACCTTGGTAAATTATTTTAAAATTAACATGTTGAAGAGATTGGATTTCTCTTAGATGATTTCTTAGTTTCTGAGGGTATTTAACTGTGTATTTTCTATCTTTTATTCATTTTATTACTTCAACTGCTGATATAGATAATAACTCACAGCTTGGCACTGTGTAAATTGTAGTTGTTTCTATATTATGTTTAGTGTAGCATTTTGAATGCTTTTTACCATTGCTATTTAATCAGTAACTGGTTCTCTACTTGTTTGTGCACTAACATATATTTTTATTGACTTACTGATTGCAAAAAAAAAAGCAGAAATAAGATTTTTTTTTTCCCCCCCGTTAACTACTTTGGACAGGTTACATAATATATTACAGCACGGATGTGAATGCAGAGATACACGATTGGGTTATTGAGCCTGTTGTGGGCAACAGGTTGACTCACCAAATACAAGAGCTAACACTTGACACACCATACTATTTCAAAATCCAGGCTCGGAACTCAAAGGGTATGGGACCCATGTCTGAAGCTGTTCAGTTCAGAACACCTAAAGGTAAATCTCCACACAAAATTTGTTGTTTTAATTTTTTTTATTGATTAAGGTATCACATATTTGTCCTCATCCCCCCATTTCCATCCCAAACCCATCTCCATGCATGCCCCCATCCCCTGTTGTCTGTGACCACTGGTTAGGCTCATATGCATGCACACAGTCCTTTGGTTGATTTCTCTCCCTTATCTCCACCCTCCCCTACCTTCCCTGAGGTCCGATATTTTCTAAATGTAATTTACTTACAGGATATTTTTCCTTACATGATATTCTTCTATTCTCCCCCCGCCCACCCCCCCTTTTTTTTAGGAGACTTTTGGAAATTTTTATAATGTAGTCTTGATAGTTTTTAAATTTTAATTTTTTGCATTAAAATATGACTGCTTTAGGTTCATCACATGTTACACAATTTTACCATGAGATGAACTACCAATAAGAATTTTAGATAACGTTTTAGAAACAGCTTTTTGTCCAGTACACTTAATTTTTCTAGAATATTCGCTTATTTCAATTAGCCAATTTCAATTAGCCTGAAAACTTGACTGCTATGTTACTGTCAAATTTAATATTCTAACAACAATCTTATTTTAACTTGTAAATATTAGTGGAAAGGATTATTTGCCTTCTTGAGTAGGCCCTGAGCATTCCTGGTGTTAGGCTAGATTTAGATATCAAAAACCCCACATCATGGGTACAAGACAACTCCAGAATGTTTTATAATGTGTCTCTTTAGTGGGACTGCGCTTGCACATGTCACTTTAGCATGTACAGACTTTGGATGATATAAGCAGTCTTTATGATGAGCCACAATGTATGTATTTATCTCAGACTGATCCCTCACTCACCACTGACCACCAGAGGGGTGCTCTCTAGATCACTTGCCTGACCAGATTACACAGAAGGGAACTCTGACTCCAGTCTATTCAAGGCAGTGATGTAGAGCTCTTTACAGTCAGATCAGGTATGATTCTCTTTTCCTGAACAAAGCAATACCATGTTATTGTGATGGGTGATTCTCTTTCAACACAAGCAGGCTCCCAATCAGAAAGGCTTAATGTAGACCTTTGTAGGGAGAAAGGGGACCCTTGAAAGAAATTCTAGATAAGAAAATGAAGTTGAAGTATTGAACCAAGTGAGTTTAGGAATAAATTTTAGTCAGGAACTGAGTCTCTGGAAATATGAAATATGGTTTCTCTACTTATAAAAAAACAAAACACTCTTGTTTGGAAGTTTGTGGGATTTCTTTTCCCTTTAAAAATTTTGCCTATCCCATCTTCAAAGCTTGTGATTCTTGCTCTTGTTTTTTCTTCCCCTGTGCTTGGCCTGTTAGCGGACTCCTCTGATAAAATGCCTAATGATCAAGGTAAATGAGTAGATGGCCTCTCTTTCCTTTCCTCTCTTTTGTGACCTATTAATAGTTTTTTGTTTTTTTTTTCCTTAAAAATCAGTACCATGTGTTAATTGGCCAAAGTGGAGTTGAGTCCATAATTGAGGCACTTGGGGTATCTGAAAAGTGGGAGCTAAACTAGCCTGGTATGGGGGAAAATTCCGAGTCAAAAACTGAGTTCTGCAGCTGTAGGAGATTAGCCTTAAGTGTGGGTCCAGTTAGCACAAAGATATTGAAATTTTGTAATAATTCAGCGAGGATCAGAGCAAGAATACCCAATTTGTAGCAATTAGGATTTTATTTGTATCTCTAAAAGAAAAGTTGTCATCAAATTCAGTGAATACCCTATTTTCCTCCTCCCATAAACTATAAATTTACCCTACTAAACTATGATGATCCGTGGCAAAATTCGTGCTATTTATTCTCTTACCATAAGCTTGATTAAGAACTACTTTTCCATTTCTTCCCTTAAATATACCTGCTTACCTTAAAAGATGATATAAACAATTTTAAATGGAAACTTAGGAAGCATGAGCCACATTGTCACCATTCTTGAAATTATATGTCAGCAGGGTCTTTTCACCGTAGTTACTGTAGTGGAGGATAACTCCTCCATCTGTGCTTTGTGATTTTCGTCTCTGCAAATTCAGCTAAAGTTGGTGTCTGTTTTCTATACTAAGAAAGAATAATAAAAGTAAATTTTATGATTGCTTTCATGGTTTAAGAATGGTTATTAGTTATTAGAAATACAGTCTTTGGATCTTGGTTAATGTCAAGGAAGAGTCAAAACTTGAGGTTTCCAGTTTCAGGGCTTTGGAAATATGTTTGCATTCTATGAGTCTTTTGTTCTACTTTGTAGAAACTGCAAGCATGCTTTTATCTGGGGGTGGGGTGGGGAGGCACCCTAATCATGGTAGAAACTTTGACTTAAGTGTGAGAAAAGAAAAATAACCATCCTGTATATGCACAAAATATAAATGTGCTTGTTCTTTCCTGGCTTCACTCCGTAAGTGCCGCGCCACACCTCTGGTATTTAAAATTCTTTGCCCATGTTTACTTTGGTATTTGGTTAATCCTTAGAATTTCTTGTTCATAGGTTAAATTTTAAAAAAAAAAAAAATGTTGGAATTTGTAGAAATTAAACCATCCAGCTTATTGGCAAAGATTGTTCTTCAGCATTTTGTTACATAATATGATACTCTGGATGGTTTAACTTAAATGTGGGCTACCTTACAAGTAAAGACACTTAAACCTGAAGAGCCTTACTAGGTCATTCCACCAAGTAGACTTAATCATAGTGAAAGGAATGGCTGAAATCTTGATGTGTGGTATGTACCATTTGAGAGGAATGATGGCCACAGAAGTAACAGCATAGAATTACAAGTATGGGCAATTGTAAAGAGACAGTGAGTTAACTTCTAGAATATGCCCTTTTGGATAACCAAGAATTTCTGTTACCTTTTGGGGTTTTGAACTTTAAGAAACAGAGAAAACATTGTGGGGTTTGTTTGGTTTTTTTTGTTTGTTTGTTGTGTGTGTGTGTGTGTGTGTGTGTGTGTGTTTGTGTTTGTGTTTTTTGTTTTGGTTTTTACCTCTAGATGTACTCTGTTAAATGAACTATGCACAAAAACCTTCACATTTTAATTTCTTTCATTTCCTCCAAGCCTGATAACTTATAGAAGTACTTGACTTTAACTCTAATGTTTTACAGAAACACATCTACTTTATGAATTTCTTGCCAATCTTAATTTATACAAATTACTCCTTTATAAGTTTTTTCTGAAGCTTCATACTTTTTGCTTCTGGGAAGAGTAAGATTATATTCTTCCCTAACGATTTATTATGCTTGTAATAATAATAGTTAATATTTATTGTACATTTACTACATGTCAGGCAGCACTGATATTTGTGTTTTCTCAGCATCACTGTGTTCCCTCATGCTGGATTAGGAGACACTGTCCTTTGTGAACAACAAGAGCAAAGACTTTGTTTTTCCATCTTTGTGTATTTAGTTCACTGAGCAGCAACTGAGACCCCAATTTGAATCTCCATTTGCCTTCCTGCTCCTGCTTAGGGCGAGGCAACTTTATAATTTGAGAAAAGAATCCAATCCCTACTAGGCCAGATCAGCATAGGCAAGCCCTTCTAAGAGTCTAGTTCTTTATTACAGAAGCTAATCAAACTGGTCTTCTTGGTCCTTTTCCAAGAGAAGTTTCTTTAGCATCAGTACTCTAAGGCATCTTTCAGAAACGGTTTCCTGGACTGGAGAAGTGGGGTATGTTCCCAACTTGTGAACAGCGAGTGGCAGTCTAATTACACACTAGATATAGCCATGGAAAGGGTGTCAGCCTTTCAGATGCCTCATTGCATAGAAAGCTAGACCTTAGTTTGCTTTGCACAAATAGACTATTTTCCCCAGTTGTTCATGTGCTACTTCATTTTCTCATGAACAAAATAGACTGAAAATAGTTTTTATATAGAAAATGCTCGTTAGCTGTGAAGTGGGCTTTTAACACCTGTGGGCTGGGTCACTACTCACATTTTTTTTTTCTCCTTCAGCCTCAGGGTCTGCAGGAAAAGGAAGCCGGCTGCCAGACCTAGGATCTGACTACAAAACTCCCATGAGCGGTAAAGCCTCTCCTGTGGCTCTGTGGCCTACTATGGGCATGATGCAATTCTGCTTGACATTTTTAAATGGCTTGTGTCGCTTGTGTGTGGTGATTGTAGCATGTTACCTATTTCCTTTTATTTAACAGAGTTAGCTTCAGGCACTTATCTGGCAAATATTTGCTAAATTACTGCAAACCCACTCATTATAGGGTTTCTCCACATATCCAACTTAATATGAGGCTAATTCTGAATAAACAAATCTTCCTTTTGCCTACTGCCTCTAGAGAAACATTTGAATTTTGTTTTCAAAAATAAACTCTAGTGGAATTAGCCATCACCCAAGCCAAAGGAATTCCTCTGAATCATTCATTTCTCCCCAAACTACTTACTATAGTGTTTTTAGTTTGGGAATTCTAAAAAAGTCTTCCTACTCTCCTAGTCATCTGAAGAGTTGGTGCCTTCTAACTACTTAATGAACCTATTCTTCTACAGAACTTCACCATTTGTAAGTTACTTTCGGACATGAAATCATTTTCAAGCAGGACAAGCAGGTATCATTCCCATTTTTAAATATCAAGAGACTCAATGGAGAAGTAATCTACCTGGATCCACCCACTAATTATGGAAGTCCAAGAACCACAACCCAGGTCTTCTGACTTCTCATTGTGCTTACCACATGCAATTTAAAAAGCACAGATATGGCCGAAACCAGTTTGGCTCAGTGGTAGAGCATTGGTCTGCGGACCGAAAGGTCCCAGGTTCCATTCTGATCAGGGGCATGTACGTTGGTTGTGGGCACATCCCCAGTAGGGGGTGTGCAAGAGGCAGCTGGTCGATGTTTCTCTCTCATCGACGTTTCTAGCTCTCTCTCTCCCTTCCTCTCTGTAAAAAAATCAATAAAATATATTTAAAAAATAAGAAAAATAATTTAAAAAAAGCACAGATGTGGGAATCTGCTATTGGTGAAAATCTATACATGTAGCTGCTAGAAATAAGCCTTATTGTCTCCTCAACCCTACCAGAAAACGGGGAAAACAAAAGCCTGTCCCCTGGAAATTCCTACTCTGACTGTGGAAATAAAATGATCTCTAGCTATCTATTTAAATAAAATATGATACTGCCCTGCCCTGGCAGTGTGGCTCAGTTGTTAGAGCATCATCCCATACACCAAAAGGTTGCAGGTTCAATTCTCACTTAAGGCACATACCTAGGTTGTGGGTTTGATCCCATTAGAGTGCATACGGTAGCAACTAATCAATGTTTCTTATATCGATGTTTCTCTCTCTCTCCCTCTCTTTCTCTCTCCTTCCTATCTTCCCTCCCTCCCTCTCTATCCCTCCCCCTTTCTCTCTAAAATCAATAGACATATCCTTGGATGGGGATTTCTTTTTAAGGTGCTGCCCAGATTTCAGTGAAATGAGCTATTAAGAGAACCAGACAAACTTGCACGCTTTAAGAAATTCTTAAAGAAATTCTTAGTCTCTGAGTTCTAGGACTTTGCGAGTTTTTTCTCTTGGGATGTATTTGTTACATTTATGTGCTCTCCACAAAATATTATTCAAGGTTGTGAAAAAAGTAGTTATTCTTTGTTTTTTCTTTCATTTATGCATTCATTCATTCACACATTTTTTTAAAGGTTCAGGTTCTATATAATAGGCTATGGGAGCAAAAGGAGTGAGTAACAAACTACCTAATAGAGAAAGGGGAAGCTTTGTAGAAAAAGTGATATCTGACCCAGATTTTAAAGGATGCATAGGAGGTTGCTAAATGGTAAAGGACGGGGGGAAGGGGTTAACCATTACAGGAATCAAAAGCAGCATGTTCTGCAAAGACCTGGCAATATAAAACAACCTGCTCTCCCCCTGGATCACACTATAAAGAGGCAGGATAAGATTCTCTGGTTAGAGAAGGTTAGTTAGAGCCAGTCACCTTGTCAAAAGCTTAGATGCCAATGCTGATAAATGTGAGCTTCATCCTATAAATAACATATGTAAGATGTCTGATACTGGTAAACTATGTATTTATTGAGTATCTATTATACTATTTATTGAGTATCTACTATTAGTAGACAGTGAAGAATTAGTTAGGGGTAAGAGCATAAACTCAGAAAAGATGGTTAGAAAACTGTTGCAATAATTTAGGTAAAGCTTAAAAAATGGCCTGTTATAACATTCCTGGTAAAAAGGTTGATGCTCCCTTTTGGGAGCTCACTCTTACTCTGTCTTAGAAGGGAGATTTTTGTCAGCTCAAAGTTAGAGATCAAATAAAGTCAAATGAGAATCCATCTCTGTTGAATACAGAGAAGAACTACCCCCACCTCTGCTTTCCTCCGAACCCCTCAGAGCTCCCCAGCCTCTTCTTTTAGTGTCTGCCTGTTAATAAAAGGTTCATGTAAAAGCCCAAATATGGTCTAATTTATTGACCCCTATCTATTCTATAGTCTTCCACAAATATAAAAAAATGTTATTTTATTAAAGGTCAGTGTATACAATTTGAGTTGTCTGTCTGCTAACCTTTTTCTCAGAAATGAAAGATAAAAATGATTGAGCTACATGTAAAAGAATAAGCCCTTAAGCTCTCCTAAGTCAGCCAGATTTTGCAGTATTCTTAAATGTAGCCTATGACATCATAGAATCAAAACTTAGAAGGTCAGTTAACCTAATGCTATGGAAGGAATTCCCACAGTAAATATAGTTTGGATTAGCTCGTAAGTTTATAAACCTGGTTGTATATGAAAATCTCTTTGAGACCTTTTTCTAAAAACAGCTTTCCAGGCCATACCTTCATGGTAGGAATTTATCCCACAATACCCCAGCCTGGTAGGATGACTGTAAGTACTTCCATTGACTAAACACTCATCACTTGGCAAAGCAGCTCATCCCACTCTTGTACAACTCTGATTTTTAGAAAGATAAGAGAGAAACTAGAAGGAAAGACATCAAATATCCATGGTGGTTAGATCTGTATGGATTACCCATATTTTATAACATGAGCATGCATAACTTTTATAATGAGGTGGGAAGCCAGGAAATGGTTTAGAAAATGAAAAATAACTTAGAAAAAAAGGTGGGTTACAGAAGGCCTTGAAAAAAGCTGAGAACTCATCCTATAAGCAAAGCAAGAAAAACAATCATTGTTATTTGCCCCGGCCAGTGGGACAGCAACGTGGGAGCGAGGAGACACCTGGAAGGGAATGAGGAAGGACAGGAGACGCGGAGAAATGGAGGCAAGACAGGGTTCTGATCAAGCCTCAAATTTTATTTGTTGCAGCCACAATATATGTACCCAGGTTGTAGGGGGAAGTTGCCAACCAAGGAGACATTCTAGGGCAGGGAGGGTTGTGTATCAGCAGGATGTGTCTGCAGGGGAGGATACAGCAGACATTCTCCGGGGCGGGGCGAGTTATCACAACAGGTGTGCCTTGCTCAATGGCCAGTTATGCTGCTAGGCATTTAGATTGTTTCTAGTTAATTGCCACACCGCAGCTTGTCACATGAGTTCTGGTAAGTAAGAAACTCAGTGTCTAAGATGGAGGTGTCTTTTAAGATGTAGTCACTAATTCTTTTTCGGCTCCCGACAGTTATTATCATCCTATCTAATAATAGAGTAATATGCAAATTAACCATCACTCTGCCACAAAATGGTGGCCCCCATAGCCACAAGATGGCAGTACCCAGTTCCCTCAGCCCCATTGCTGGAGTGTCCAGCCTGTCCGCAAGAGTAACGAGGCTGGATCTGCCTCCAGAAGGGACAGATCCGGCCTACCAGCACCACTGCTGCAGTGTCTGGGCCTGTCAGCCCCGCAGGAGTTGGGGGAGACCAAGCGGTCTCATACATGGCAGACAGAGCCTCGACAGCAGGGCATGGAGGCTTCCTTAGCACAGCGGCAGCAAGGAAGCCCCATGCCCAGCAAACAGAGCCCGGACAGCAGGGCTTGGGAGCTTTCTTAGCGCTGCAGTGGCGGGGAAGTCCCCAGACATGGCAGACAGAGCCCAGACAGCAGGGTATGGAGGCTTCCTTAGCAAGGTGGCGGCGGAAACACCTCCAGGCCCCACAGACAGAGCCAGGACAACAGGGCATGGGACTTCCTTAGTGTGTCGGTGTTGACAAAGCCTGGCAGACAGAACACACTGCAGGGCATTGAGGCTTCCTTTGCATGGCGCATGGTGGAGGCAGACAGAGAGTGGAGACAAAGGCATGGGGGCTTCATATCCATGTCTGCAGTGAAATCTCTAGGCCCGCAGAGAGCAGAGAACCACGTGGAGTGGGCCTAAGCCATCAGTAGGACATCCCCTGAGAGCTCCTGGATTGTAGAGGGTGCAAGTTGGGCTGAGGGACACCCGTGCACGAATTTAGTGCACCAGGCCTCTAGTTGTTATATAATGAAGAGGGAGAAAAATCTAAATTTCCTCAAGGTTCTACATAGGCCTCATACTTTTTTTTTTTCACTTCCTTTCCTCTAACTTTGCATATCTCTCTTTGCTTAAGGAAAGAGAGATTTCTCTTCCTTTTCCATGCCAAGGTCATTCCTGCCTTAGGATCCTTCCACTAGACTGTTCCCTCTCTATGGAATGTTGTTCATCCAAGTCTTTATATGGTGGGATCTTACATTTTATTTAAATCCTAGCTCAAATGCCATCTTCTCAGAGAAGTGTTTTCCAACCACTCAATATAAAATAGCCACCAAGTCACTGTGTTATACCCCCCATTTGATTTTTTTTTCATAGTACTCACTATTCATAATTTGTGACTTACTGTTTGGCTCCATCCCAACAATCACATTTCTGTTGCTCACCTTTGCATCCTCCTCCTTAGTACATAGAACAATGCCTGGCACAAAGCAAGCACTCATTAAATATTTGTCAAATTAGTGCATACATGCAGTCCTACGTTTTCCTGAAATGAAGTAAGAGACTAACTCTGCATAAACGGTATTTATAAAAAAAGATACTTTAATTTTCAATTATTTTTTTTTGTGATCTTAGGTATATTTATTTATTTTTTTATTATTTTTTTAATAAATTTTTATTGTTCCTATTATTACAAATGTTCCTTTGCTCTCCTCCCCCAGGATCCCACCCCACCCTCTGCCCTTTCCACACCCCCCATTGTCCTCATCCATAGGTGCACAGTTTATGTTCAGTCTCTTCCCACATCCCCCTCTCCCCTTTTCCCCAAGAATCATCATTTCACTCCCCTTCCATACCTCTGATTCTATTATATTCACCAGTTAATATTGTTCATCAGATTTTTTTTAATTTCCTTGGTTTTTAGATTCACTTGTTGATAGTTACATATTTGTTGTTCATAATTTTTATCTTTATTTACTTTTTCTTCTGAAAGAACCCCCTTCAGCAATTCATATAATTCTGGTTTGGCAGTGATGAACTCCTTTAGCTTTTTTTTATTAGTGAAGCTCTTTATCTGACCTTCAATTCTGAGTGTTAGCTTTGCTGGATAGATTATCTTTGGCTGTAGGTTCTTACTATTCATCACCTTGAATATTTCTTGCCATTCCCATCTGGCCTGCATGGTTTCTGTTGAGAAATCAGCTGACAATCTTATGGGTGCTCCTTTATAGGTAACTACCTTCTTTGCTCTTGCTGCTTTTAATATTCTCTCTTTGTCTTTTGCTCTTGGAATTTTAATTATGATTTGTCTTGGTGTGGTCCTCTTTGGATTCCTTTTGTTTGGAGTTCTGTGTGCTTCCTGGACTTGTAAGTCTAATTCTTTCACCAGGTGGGGGAAGTTTTCTGTCACTATTTCTTTCAGTATGTTTTCAGTATCTTGCTCTCTCTCATCTTCTGGGACCCCCATAATTCTGATGTTGGTTCGCTTGAAGTTGTCTCAGAGGTTTCTTACATTATCTTCAATTTTCTGGATTCTCTTGCCTTCTAGCTTCTGTGGAGGAGTGTCCTTGGGCTCTTTGTGTTCCAAATCTTTGACTTGATTCTTGCGATCTTCCATTCTGTTTTTAGGACTCTGTATAATATTTTTTATTTCAGACAATGTATTCTTTATTTCTTGTTGATCCCTTATCATTTCTTGTTGATCCCTTATCATTTCTTATTGATTTCTTATTAATTCTAGTTGATCTCTTTTCATATCTTCACAGGTCTTATAGATCTTTTCTAGGAAATTCTTAAAAAACCTTATAAGCGTAGATTTGAACTCTATATCCAGTCGCTTTTTGTCCTCCATTTCTTTCGTTTGTGATCTATTTTGTTGTCGCATTTCGCAGCTACAGATGGGACAGGATTTCAGGGTGGAGTCTACAGCTTTGGCTTCCGTCAGCCCTGCCCTATGCGGCTCCTGGGTCTCAGGGTCCTTCAGTACTCATTGCAAGCGCCTCTGAGAAAGGTGCCCTTGATTTTTGCCTGCTACCAAACAGTCTAGGCTCTCCCCCAATGGCCTGGAACTGGGGTTCAGTTCAGTTGGTAGTGGGATTGGAGGTGGCGTTCAGAGCAATCTGGAGCCCCTGTCTCCTTCCTGTCAGGGCAATCCCGTGGCACAGCCAACCATCCCTTCTCTGCTCGCAATGTGCGAGCTGCCGGGACCTCCTTTCGCCACTCCCCCGGGTTCCGCCTTACAGCCCAGCTCCCTCTGGATGAACCTGGGTCCCCAGGGTCTGGCCTAGAACTAGGGTTCAGAGCAGTTGGAACTGGGGCACAACACAGTCGGAGCTTTTATCTCCTTCCTGCCAGGCACCAGCCGCCCTCCTCTCTGGCTCCGTCGTCTCCGCGCGCACCGCATGTCTCTGTACCTCAGGCTTTTACAGCTCCTCTGCACTTCCTTCTGATTTTCTCCTTGCTTCTCGTTGTAGAATTTCCAGTCAGTCAACTTTACTATAGTTCTGGGTAATGTTCATTTTATATTTTAGTTGTATTTTATTGAAATTGTTGTGTGCGGCTGCGGCTAGGTGTTTACCTGGGCAGCCATCTTGGATTCTCCCTGATCTTAGGTATATTTAAAAAAAAACAAAACTGTAACTTTCTATGAATGTACATTTTTAAAGTAGTTTTGAAAGTCAGAAAACAATGGTTTATAAATGGTGCTTTATAAGATGAATTTATGTATAACATAAGATACAGAAGGACAGACCCTTTATTTATCAAAGTATAATGTTCATATAATTTCAAAGTATAAAGTTCACATAATAGTCATATAATTTCTTCTTGAACAACTTTGTGCAAGGCATTGTACTAAGAAATGTCATAGGGCAAAAAAAGTAGCTTCTGGATTTCATAATATAGAGGAGCTAGCCATGTTCATGGGACACTTTTACATAAGGTGCAATGGTGAGCATTAGAAAGAAGTTCACAGTATCTCTACTCACATGAAGGTTCTATAGCCTGATTGTTTGCATTTCTAGAATCCTCTAATACTAATATGCCGTTTTTGTCTCTCCAGGCAATAACAGCCCCCATGGAAGCCCCACCTCTCCTCTGGACAGTAATATGCTACTGGTCATCATCATCTCTGTTGGGGTCATCACCATCGTGGTGGTTGTGATCATTGCTGTCTTTTGTACCAAGCGCACCACCTCTCACCAGAAAAAGTAAGAAGCCCCAAATTTAGCCCATAGATGTTAGGTTCTATTCTTTTGCATCTATGTGATTTCTGTATTTGGAGTTACACTGAGAATAAAAACCTAAAATACTTGAAAAGTGATATTATAAATATTTGTAAACACAGACTGGTTCCTCTCATAAATGTGTATTGTCAGGATCTTGGCAGAAAAGAGGTAGCGCACTCAAAAGGGGTGAACAAGAATATAATGAAGGAGTCATTTACAAAGTCCTAAGTAGGGTTAGGGAAACTGGGCAGCAGTGTTCAAGGGTCAGCAGCAGTGAGTGGCTGCCACCTTAGGTGGTGACAATGACTGTTTCAGACATGAAAGGATAAGAGTTCTTTTTGAGGAAGAACAAGCTGTTTTCAGAGTCTTGAAGTGGTGGGAGAAGGTTTTTGACAGGAGCTGTGTGTGCTGGTGGAAATGGAGACATTGACAACCTGTAGCCCAACAGGGAGGGGGCAGGAGAAAAAAACACCTCTGACCCTTGCCTGTTTCTTGCCTGTGCCTTCTACTGGACAAACCCAACTGGACACAAGGGTCAGGATTGCCAAGTAGATATAGTTCATGCCATTCAATCTCTTGAGTCACAGAGCCAAGTAGAGAGATCAAGAGAAGAAAGCGGACAGTGCAGCCTTGCTGGGAGCCCTACTGAATTATGTCTTATATGCACACAGTGAGCTAGACACACAGGAGTCTCTGCACATTCTTATGGGTTATTTTACAACAGAAATACCAACTGAGATGGAAGAAAACCACAGGCCTCTTATTCTAAATCTAAGTTCATCCTACGTGTAGAAGTTGAGGTTGGTACCAGGGTTGGGGGCTGACTTAATGGATAAGAAGATCAGTTATAATCACCATATCACATTCCCAGAGAGGTCAGGTGGCTGCTAGTTCTGTACTCTGCTGGGATTGTGAGCTTGTGGGTAACTGTGTAGAGCAAATAACATGGTTATTCAGTAGTGCTTAATAACAGCCTGTACTCCTGAACTTGAGAGAATCCTTGACCCTAAATCACATTCAACTAATAAAAATATACATTCCTGAGTTACCCCAATAGCAAAAACTATGTGAGTAAATGACTTTAGTTGCAGTATCCTAAAAGATTATAAGATTAAGGTGTTGCTCCTAAACACACACACACACACACACACACAAATTCATGTCTGTGGGATATCCATCAGACTTGGTCTGCCCAAGGCCAGAATGCATGTATTTAATAATGATGCATTTGTTGTCAACACACAGGACAAGTATAGCTACCCTGTAACTGCTGATGGTCATGTAGGTCATCTTTTGTAGGCTGTTTGATATTTTTAATCTGCTTTTGCCCCAGTAAAATAGCTGTCTGTAGCTTGCATTGCATCACTTTCACAATCCTTTTATAAGCCTCCTGATCATTGATTCTTTCAGCTCTCCCTATCTACTTTTGTTTTGTTTTTTGTTTATTTGTTTTTACTTTATAAAATATTTTTTAAAATTTTTTATAATAAATCTTTATAGTTCAGATTATTACAGGTGTTACTCTTCCTCTCCACCACCCTCCCCTGCATAGCTTCCCTCCACCTGATTCCCAACCCAACCCCATGCCCTTACCCCTGCCACTGTCATCATCCATAGGTGTAATAATTTTTATCCAAATTCTTCCTGCACCGCTCAGACCCCCTTCTCCCTGAGAATTGTTAGTCCAATCCCTTTCTATGTTCCTGATTTTATTATATTCACCAGTCCATTTTGTTCTTCAGATTTTTTATTCTCTTGATTTTTGGAGTCACTTGTTGGTAGGTATGTATTTGATATATTTTTGTTGTTCATATATTTTACTTTTACCTTTTTTTCTTCTTCCTCTTCTTAAAGAATATCCTTCAACATTTCATGTAATTCTGGTTTGGTGTTGATGAATTCCTTTAACTTTTTCTTGTCTGTGAAGCTCTTTATTAGACCTTCAATTCTGAATGATAACTTTGCTGGGTAGAGTAATCTTGGTTGTAGGTTCTTATTGTTCATCATTTTGAATATTTCTTGCCACTCCCTTCTGGCCTGCATAGTTTCTGTTGAGAAATCAGCTGACCGTAATATCGGTACTCCCTTGTAAGTAACTAGCTGTTTTTCTCTTGCTGCTTGTAAGATTCTCTCTTTGTCTTTTGCCCTTGGAATTTTAATTACGGTGTGTCTTGGTGTGGTCCTCTTTGGATTCCTCTTGTTTGGGGTTCTGGGTGCTTCCTGAACTTTTAAGTCTATTTCTTTCATTGGGTAGGAAAAGTTTTTAGTCATTATTTCTTCTAATAGGTTTTCAATGTTTTGTTCTCTCTCTTCTGGCACCCCAAAAATCCAGATGTTGGTACGCTTTAAGCCATCCCGGAGGCTCCTTACACTATCCTCACACTTTTTGATTCTTCTTTCTTTCTTCCTCTCTGGGTGGGTGATTTTTGCTTCCTTATATTTTAGATCTTTGGTTTGATTCTTGAGGCATGTTGATCTATAGTTGAGTTTCTGTATATTCTTTATTTCAGAGATTGTATGCTTAATTTCTGGCTGGTCCTTTTCAGTTTTTTTGGTATTCTCACTAAGGTCCTTGAAGGTCTCACAAAGCTTCTTGGAGGTCTCATCAAGTTTCTCAAAGGTTTTTAGAAGATTCTTGAGTAACCTTATAAATGTGATTCTGAACTCTTGTGTCGTCCAGTAGTTTACTTTCCTCCATCTCTCCCATTCGTGACATGCTTCTGTGTCTCCTCATTTTGGCTGCCTCTCTATGTTGATGGAGTGGCTTTGTGTGGTTGGTGACCTGTAGGGGCCAGTAGCTCAGCTTCCCCAATCACCTGAGGTGGACACTTTTGGTATATCTCTTTGTGGGCTGAGTGCAAAGTCTTGGTGTAATTAAGCCTTGATTGCTGTTGATACACTGGGAGGAATTGACCTCCAGGCCAATTGGCTGTGAGGACCCACTGTGTCTATAAAGTAAGAATTGCTATGCTGGAGACAAGCCTTGTTTCAGTGGGGCTTTGATGCTCACTGAGTCTGTATCCTAAATGTGTCACTTATGGGTGTGGGGGGTGAAACTGAGCGCTTGGAACACTGGCTTCTGGATCTCCAATGGGGTGCAGTTCAGCTACTGTCTGAGGCCACCCTGCAGGAGTTACAGCGAAAACCACAGTCCTCTCCTCAGTTAAACTGCAACAGAGAGGGTCATTTATATGCAAAAGCCGCTGCTAGGAGCTTGGGTGTGTTTGTAGGTTGTGTGATGCGGAGTCTCAGGGTGTCACTAGGCTGGGGCATGGCCAACAGCGATGGCTGCCCATTAGCCGCCTCTTTGACCATGTCCTCTCATCTCTCCATGTCTCGCACCCCAGCACAGCAAACAAATATTCTTGTGCACAGCTCTGCAAGCAAGCCACCCTCACTTTCCAACCTGATGGCAGACAGTTTAGCTTCTCCCCAGAAACTGGATTTCAGAGAGATCGGGAGCTTGTCTTTCTTCTGGTTGAAGAAAGCAATGCCCTGTGCTATCTGAGATCCGCCACCAGCCCGTATGGCATCCATGCCCCCCTAACTCAGTTTTTCAACACTTGTGCCCTGAAATCTCTTTCTCTTTCAGTCTAGTTGTAGGGCTTCCTTTCAGCCAGCTTTTCCTTGGGTTTTAGGTGATAGACGTTTTGTTTTATAGTTGTATTTTTGAAATTGTTGTGCACAGCAGCCGTTTAGGTGTGTTTACCTACTCCACCATCTTTGTTTTCCAGAAATTATTTTTTTTAATTTAATAAATCTTTATTGCTCAGATTATTATAATTGTTTCTCCTTTTTCCCCCTATAGGTCCCTTCCACCCACTTCCCAACTCACCCTCTACCCTTACCTTTCCCCCATTGTCCTCATCCATAGGTATACGATTTTAGTCCAGTCTCTTCCTGCACCCCCACCCCTTTCCCTCTGATAATTAATCAGTCCCTTTCTTTGCTCATGATTCTATTATATTCACAGTTTATTCTGTTTCTCATATTTTTAATTCACTTGATTTTTAGATTCACTCGTTGATAGACATGTATTTGTTGATCATAATTTTGATCTTTACTTTTTTCTTCTTCTTCATCTTCTTAAAGAATACCTTTCAGCATTTCATATAATACTGGTTTGCTCGTGAGGAACTCCTTTAGCTTTTTCTTATCTTGAAGCTCTTTATCTGCCATTCAATTCTGAATGATAACTTTGCTGGGTAGAGTAATCTTGGTTCTTTCTATTCATCACTTGAATATTTATTGCCACTCTCTTCTGGCCTGCATAGTTTCTGTTGAAAAATCAGCTGGTAACTAATTGTTTTTCTCTTGCTGCTTGTAAGATTCTCTTTGTCTTTTGCCCTTGGTATTTTAATTATGATGTGTCTTGGTGTGGTCCTCTTTGGATTCCTTTTGTTTGGAGTTCTGTTCACTTTCTAGACTTGTAAGTCTATTTCTTTCACCGGATGGGGGAAGTTTTCAGTCATTATTTCTTCAAATAGGTTTTCAGTATCTTGCTCTCTCTCTTCTTCTGGCACTCCCATAATTCCGATGTTGGTACACTTAAAGTTGTCCCAGAGGCTCCTTACACTATCTTCAACTTTCTGGATTCTCTTGCTTCTCCGGAGGAGTGTCCTTTGCTTCTTTGTATTCAAAATCTTTTACTTGATTCTTACTTTCCTCTAGTCTGCTGTTGGGTCTCTGTATAATATTTTTTATTTCAGTCAGTATATATTTAATTTTTAGTTGGTCCTTTTTCATATACTCCAGGGTCTCGTTAAGTTTATTGGCCTTTTGTAGGAAATTCTTGAAAAACCTTATAACTGTGGTTTTGAACTCTATATCTAGTCATTTGTTCTCCTCCATTCTTTCATTTGAGATCTGTTTCCTTGTCTCCTCATTTTCACTGCTTACCTGAGTTGGTGGGGTGGCTTTGTGTGCTTGGTGTCCTATATGGACCAGTGGGTCAGCCTCCCCAATTACCTGAGGTGGACACT